CCTGCTACCTAATCAACATCCTGCTACCTAATCAACATCTTGCTACCTGATCAACATCCTGCTACCTAATAAACATCTTGCTATGTGATCAACATCTTGCTACCTGATCAACATCTTGCTACCTAATCAACATCCTGCTACCTAATCTACATCCTGCTACCTAATCAACATCCTGCTACCTAATCAACATCCTGCTACCTAATTTTACATACCGTATTCTGCTTGAAGTACCTACTTGGCTTGATTGGCATGAAATTCCAAGATTTGTATTAAGACCATGGCCTGGATATCATGTATTTATCTCAACTGTTTTCAGCACGCAATTCTAGACATGTAAGTATTGTAATTTATGCATGAGGAATATGATCCATCGAGGAAAGGGTAGGATCTGGTTTAACCCTAGCCCAGTTGTGTTATTTCTGTCTAATTAAGGGGGGGGGGGGTTAAAAACTCTCCCTAGTGACCGTGAGGTGTTAGGAATTTTGCCAAGGGCATTATTCCAAGTGTGGTTTGCAAGTGACAATTTCCCAAGCGGCAACTTCCCAAAGATTAGGTTAGGCTTTCTAAGGCGCCGAAGGCTGCAATGAGGGCTGAGTGCTGTCGCTAGGATGTGCTAGGGGCCGAGCGCAGCGTCTAGAACATGTTGAGGGAAGAGATTTGCGATAAGGATAAATTTGGGAAGTTTCAAATTGGGAATTTGTTGGAAAGTTGCCACTTTGGAAAATACCCTTGCCAAATTGCCACTTGGGAAAATGCCTTTGGGAAAGTACCAAACATCGATTTTTCCATTTGAGTGAGATAAGCGATTCATGATAAAAACCTAATATTTAAAGGTCTTTTTAAAATGTTGTTTTTTAGACCTCTAACATTAAATTTAAAGGCTACTTTAGGGACTAGGTAGGTTTAAAGGGACTAATGAGTAGGAACTAAGGAGGTTTAAAGGGACAAGGGACTAGGGAAGATAAAAGGGACTGTCCTTGTAATTTCTTTCTACTATTCAGATTCAAAACAGTATCCTGTTCCTTGACAACTTAAATCTGACAAGTATTGTGAAAGATATCGGTTGAAAACTGTTTATTTCTGACGACCTCGTTGCTACACTTCTAAAGAGAAACCACAATAGAAAATAGTAATTTTTAATGTTTAAAACGTGAATATCACATTCATTCTTGATTTAAGCTTTTAGGGTATAGTTTTGAATCGGACATGGAGGTAACTTAAAATTGTGTCTACAGTCCCATTCACAACATTTTGAAAACATATTTTTTATTTAAAATTATTCTAACTTATTTTACAGTTATGATTTCCGCTTTTTAGTTTGAGCTGGCATCAAATGGCCCATATTTTTTAGAGTTAAAACATTAACATGTTGAACACAATGATATTTAATGTCTGTATTTCAAAACATAGAAATACAGTTTGCAATTCCATTGGGATTGAAATAAAGGTCAAACTGATGGAAAATATCAATTTATACAAATATGGAGATTAAAGTTTAGAACTTTTTAAACATTTAAACTAAATTATTTATTAAAAGAAACCAACGAAAATTGCAAATAGATAAATTTAATTTTGAAATTCTTATTTTTAATGTTCCCAAACTAAACATTGGTTTTGTATGCTATGCAGCTTATGTAGACCAGCCTGAACCACACTGATATAAAGACAACCCTGAACCACACTGATATAAAGACAACCTGAAAGTTTGTCGTCAAAGTTTTAGACAACCTCTTGTTTAAATTGTTAAAACGACTTGGAATCTGGTTTCACCTCACCAGCTTAGCTCATTTATACTTTTTGTAAACCTAGACATATACATTTTGTATTTGCAAATGAAATATGTTATTAACGATCTAATTTTTTTCTTTTAATTTTAGCTTCTTCCTTTGAAACCAGGACACATCTATTTCACAACAATTCGATGGTTCATTTGCATGGTGTATTGCCCCGTTTTGCCATATATGAACTGTAAAGCTTGCTCTGGCTGCTTAAAATTCGGACCGGTACTTGAATGAATAAATGAATAAAATTTTATTGTCAGGGCATAGGTTCGTTCGGTTTTTTTTAATTAAAATTCAATTGAGTTTTATTCTGTAATTAAACAATCTTTAAACCCACAAAGTTTGGAGTTATTGTTTTTTTTTTACTTTTTCATTTTAAACATAACCGCTGACAAAGCAAAAGTTTAAAGGAGAAAAAAAACACAAACGATGTTTTAATGGTCAAATTGGGATAGAAAGTTATGGCTTGCTGGGTCCAAACCGAACTCTTTTAAACGTGCGTGAGACGGTCTTATTGAAAGCTATCTTAGTTCCAACAGATCACTTTTTTAAATGCAACTCAGGTTTCAATAATATTCTTATTCTAATGTTTATGTTTTCGATTTTATGACTTTTGTGCAAAAAAAGATGTTAAATCTTAATATTTCATGGTGCATTTATGAATTTTCAATAATTATTTTTCATTGTTTTTAATTTATTATTTGTTGTAAAATATGGACGATAGAACTCGGTGAGGCGTTTCTTGATTTGCATTTGTTTAACCCTGGAAAAGTGCTCTTTAGACAAGAAAATTAGGATTTAACTGAACAACTTGAAAATGAAGGTTTTATAACTACATTCTGTCAAAAAACAAACTTTTTCTTTCTTATCAAAAATACAGTATTATTAGGCATTATATTTATATAAGATCCTTATTCGTTAGTCTTAATCTAATATATAGGCTTTTTAAATTTAGATTTGAAATTCCCCCAAATAGATCCAATTATACAAGACGAAAAAGAACTGTGTAAGGGTAATTTCAAGGGACTGTCCATGCAAAGATGGCAATGCCCGATACCCTTAAAAAACCTTTGTCTGTTAAGTATGAATTAGATATAGATAGTATAATTATCAGAAATAAAAACTTTAAAGCTAGACAAATGTTTTCCGCATTATTTTAAGGGTATACTGTTGTGGATCGGACATGGCAATCTTTGAAAATACGCTTACAGTCTACTTTAATTAAATTTATTATTGGAATCTTAACTCTTATTCTTATTATTAATCTTAACTATTATTTCAGAATATAATTTCGCAGACACATTTTTTTAATTGTTAACAGTAACCAAAGATATAGTTAGCTTTTTTTGACGTGATTAGGAAATTAAACTTTACAAATTCAGAAAAATGAAAATGATAAAATTTTTCGAGATTTTGGTTTTCATTTCAATCTCCACAGGGCGAACATTCAGAGGAGGAGAACTCTCTAGGTACACTTTTTTACAGGGTGTCAATAAAATATATCTGTCCGAAAAAAAGAGGAAAAATATTTGCATGACCAATTATGAAAATTGATTTAAATGTCGTCTTCCGGCCTATTCAAAGTGGGTCTTACTGTATACATGTGACAACAGATTTTACGTTTTTTTCTGTTGCATGATATTGTTAAAATGTTACATTTTGTGACCTTTTTAACCAGATGCATTAAAAGTTGACATTATTTTCTATTTTGTATTTTGTACAAATTGTGGAATGTGGGGTCTCGGATATCCTACAACACATTTAATTCTACATTTTTCAATATTTGGATAAAATAATTTCAAGTTAAATATTTAATATTTACGTATAGACGTATTATCCTGATATCCTACAACACATTTAATTCTATATTTATCAATATTTTGATAAAATAATTTCAAGATAAATATTTAATATTTTAGCTCTGAAATGTCTGAGTTGAAGTTGATGATGGCAGGTTAGAATAATAATGCAAAATATAACTATCTATATACAAAACAACATCAAATAAACATCAAGAATTTGATTTTTCCCACAAAATATATTACTTTTACAAATATGAAGCAAATTTCAAAAACAAGTGAATTAAAACTTAATAAAAAAGTTTAAACTAAACTTTAAAATTTCATTTAAAAGTTATATTTCTGGAGGCTGTTTACATAATAAAAAGTTTGCTTATGTACATATATCTAGATACAATTTCATTCATATTCAGATTTTTATTCAAAGACAAAGCATGAGATATTACAAATAAGCAATCACAATTTACAATGCAGTTTGGACCCGCCTAACTAGGGTTGGTTGTTTTGAGTGATTGGCCCGTTTTATAAATGAAAAGTTTGATACACACATTTTTTAAAGGCATACTTGGCTTATTTTTTTCTTTTTTTAGACATAGCTGATTGTTATTTATATATGGCTGATTTTGTCTTGATATAATTGATCACTGTCTATATATAGCTGATTATTATCTAGATATAGCTGATTATTGTCTAGATATAGCTGATTATGGTCTGTATATAACTGATTTTTGTCTGGATAAAGCTTTTTTTGTCTAGATATAGCTGATTATTGTCTAGATATAGGTGATTATTGTCTATATATATAGCTGATTATTGTATATACTTAGCTGATTATCTATATAATAACTGACTATTGTCTAGATATAGCTGATGACGGAGATATGTCTGATATGAAGATACCTCTACCTCCACAAACAATTATGAAAAGGTATTTAGCACAATTATTAACTCTTTAAAAATTCACAATTTCTGAACATTCTATAGAAACTTAAACTTTTGATATGTCAAACTATGAATTACGGATTCAAGGTTTATAAATAACTAAGGTTTATACAAGTACAATCTGGGTGCAAAATTAAAAAACTATAAAAAAGAAAATGTGGCAAGTCTTAGTTTATTTATCGTACTTTGGTAAGTTTTTTTCAGACGTGAAGAGTCGCAGAGATGCATTTTAGGAACTAAGGAATACTGCCCGGGAGAAATTCTATTCAGGTTAGATCAAGATCGAGATCAAGATCAAGATCAAGATCAAGATCAAGATCAAGATCAAGATCAAGATCAAGATCAAGATCAAGATCAAGATCAAGATCAAGATCAAGATCAACATCAAGATCAAGATCAAGTTCAAGATCAAGATCAAGATCAAGATCAAGATCTTCCTTATTTTTACTGAGACAAACTAGGTTTACAGAGTACTGTTGTGAATCAAACATACCTCTATAAAGAAATGGAAGGCAATCTAAAATAAAGTCAACTGTACAGTCCCTTCAATTATAATATCGTGTACTGTACAGTCCCTTCAATTATAATATCGTGTACTGTACAGGATTGGACAGAACAGAGTGAAAGCTAAGATTTGTCACCCTAACTCCAAGTTTAAGACTGTCAAGATTCCAGCTGATTATCAAGAACTAGAGAGGTGCCAGCACAGGTAAAAAAATAGTGATAAAATCATTATTTGGCGAGATGAGGCAAGCGGATATAACGATTTTGTCCTTAAATTCCAGAAAAATAGGACTTTTTCCTCCCTATTTTTTTTGTCGGCATGTATGTGTTGTAAACAAAAAAGTATAAAAAGATAACTCCGTAAGTTTAAAGATGTTGAATTATAGATCAACGCGTGAATGTGATTTAATTCAATTAGAAGAAACCGCATGCATGCATGCATGCTGGGTATGAATTTTAGATGTATGAATTGTAGACTGCTCCGCAAAAAAAAACTTAAAACTCAAAACTAAAAGGAGTCTTGAAATATATCATATCATTGGGGTAAAATGGAGACCCTCTTTTTCAAGACCCCAGTGCAATATCATCGGAAACCCCAAGATTGGAAACTACAAGATTTTTATCGGAGACCCATAGATTTTCATGGAAGACCCAAAAATTTCGTTGAAGACCCGAATATTTCATTGGAGACCCGAATATTTCATTGGAGACCCCGAGTTTTCATGTTGAAATTGGCTGTGAAATCTTTGGGTTTCCGATGAGAACGCATTTGTGGTCGTCCTGTTATGATGATTTTTCCAGGACTCAACTATAAAATGTACATGCTCTATAAAATGTACAAAATACTGGACAAAATGTTTGAAATAAGGGCGTTGTTATGGAAAACCCCGAGGTCAAGACTTGGTAACATTAAATAATCGGCACGATATTGTCTAAAGTTATGTTTTTCTGTGAGTATATTTTTTAAATATTTTGATTTAGGTAAAAAAACGAAAAATATTTAAAAATCACATTCACTGCATATTAAACCTTAAATTGCAACTTAAAAGATGAAAAAAAATCTTTTATTTGTTTTGATGTTGTGTAGAGGAATGGAGTACTGTGATGGTGAGATGCTTCGCGGATTTACAGGCTGGGGATTTGTACAGCAGTGTACTAATGGTCGTCTTCAACTAGAAGCAAGGTCAAATAGACAGGTAAAGAAACATACATTATAAATACAGGATAAGACTTCAGAGACGACTGTAAAGAATTTATTCAGTCTTTATAAATTTACTATGTGGTTGTTTGTTCATGAAAACTTGTTTTTTTTTTCAAAATATAATGGTTTGAAGGTTACGGGTGCAGGAATTGACTAGGGCGCATTCGGGTTTTTTATTATTTCGTTCGTTCATCCTTCGTTAACGACCCATTTTGTTCGTTTTTTAAATAATTAAAGAAAAGTTTATTTCGTTCAAGGTACTAATGCAAGGAAAGTTAATTGCGGTCGTGTATACTCTGCGTACATATTGAAACCAGTTCTCTCTGGGCGGAATTTGTAAACAAGAAAAGATGCATCAGCGCTCGTCTAGTATCCGAGGATAAAAACATTTAATGTTGATAATATTGAAAATTACCATATAGATTCCTAAGACCAGAACATTTCATAGATTATTTTTGTGAAAATGGATTCCATAATTTCACACCTCATTATAGACTGTCTTTGTAATTTTGAGTATGCCTCCATTGAAAAGAGGGGGCATGCCTTCTTCAAAATGGTATCCTTAAGAAACATTTGTTGCGGAAGATAGCGATGATTTTCTATTTGGTTCAATTCTGATAATTCCTTCATTGCTTCAGAAGCAAGAAATGTGTAAGTTACTTTTTTTATAGAAACCAAAACGCAAAATCATGGAGCATTGTTCAGACAAAGCTTTTCAAGGTATCGAATCTAATTCTTTAAACTTTAAGCTATATTAAAGGTCAATGTTATGGTTAACTCTGAAGACTATTTGGTTCAATTCTGATAATTCCTTCATTGCTTCAGAAGCAAGAAATGTGTAAGTTACTTTTTTTATAGAAACTAAAACGCAAAATCATGGAGCATTGTTCAGACAAAGCTTTTCAAGGTATCGAATCTAACTCTTTAAACTTTAAGCTATATTAAAGGTCAATGTTATGGTTAACTCTGAAGACTACTGTCTATATTTTTCTCTAATTGAAAAAATTCATGAGTCTTAAACTACAATTGTGGTTGACTACTAAAAGAGAGGAGGTCATTGTTTTTCAAATCAGAAATTGTTTACAACAAAATGATACATTTTATAAGCACATTGAAGGATAGGTTTAAATTATAAAATGGTTCGGCAATAACGTTTTTTTACCTTAAACAAATTAATAATTAAACTGTATTTTCTTGTGAATAACTTTACACAGGAAAATGTATACATTGTATTACTTAAAAACTATTTGACATATTACTCAGTTTTTAACAGTGTATTTAAAAATATTTGTGTCACAAAATGCCATTTAAACATTTGAAATAAGTAAAGGATTTTTGGTACACTTAAAGAGAGTACAATGTGCAAATATCAAATCAGAAGAAAGTACTGAGCTTCTCAGTAATTTTTTGATAATTGAAAAGCAATATATTTAAAACTTTTTTCAGGTTTATTTTTAGATAAAATTTTATGAATCAACGGTAGAATGGCTTGTTAAGACTTTGGACGTTTTTGTTGCGGTTTTCTAAAGATTTATTTTATAACGAACCTTGATTAACATCGCACACAGAAGATTTACACAGATATAACAAAACAGAAAATTGTTTCTGCCCTAACAGTGCTTGCTTGTTAAATAATACATGCTCAGGCTTGAAACAAAAGAATGATTTTAATAAAAGTTAATCCAAAGAAATTGAGTCTTTGCCACAAACTCAAATTTTCTAATTCCTATATCTTTACAACCAGATGGTATAAACCGATAATATTTCAAGCTTAGACTATTTGATCTAACAGAATTCATAGTTTGAAATATCAAAGGTCTACGACATTGGGGGGAAACAGTTAGAGTTTGTGGCAAAAACTCATTTCCTTTGGCTAACACTATTTACCGATTTTTAAATTATGTATCTTAAGCCAAAAATGATAGAGTACGGAAATGAAAAAAGTTTTTTACAATTTGCTAAGACGTATTATAAATGCGTAATTTTTGATTGAAATAACTAAAACAAATGTATTTTTATGTAGAGATATATAATTAAATACAGCGTGGCGTCCCAATGATATTTAAACAAACTTTAAACTAAAGTAAATTGTTAGTATGTTTGAAATCTTATATCATGTTTTCAATCATACCTCCTTCTATTAAAGAACCATTGAGTATATATTCTATCATACCTCCTTCTATTAAAGAACCATTGAGTATATGTAACTGGATAAATTTGTTTTCTCATATTTATTTGTAAGATCAAAATTAGAGGAGTTATGAGGTCACAAAGTCACACCAGTAACGTTTCAAAAAGTTGACCGTCCTCTTCTGTTTAGTTTACAGTGACCTTGACCTATTTCTCCTCGGATGTAATGATATTGGAAGGTATTTTTAATTGTCTCATATTTAAGGGAACGCAAACTTAATTTCAAGTCATTCTCAATAAATCTACATGTTCATGCTTCGACAAAGGTATCAAGGGTACCATACTGACCCGAACATGCCACTCTATAAATGGAAAGTCATTTTAAATTACGCTTATAGAACCTTAAAGATCTTAATGTATATGATATGGATTCTAAGCGAGAAATCTACAGTTTTAAAGGTTGAGGTTCATATTTAGGATGGATGATGGCTGCGGCTTGTATTGTTTGAAAACCGGTTTTACTGTACACACTTCCTGCCAGTTGCTGCCGAACACTTTATTTAAACATGGTGACAGGAACGGTCGGAGAAAGAGACTCCAATGAACTGAATATGGCAGAGTCCCTGAATAAAAGAAAGTCAAACCACCCTGGATTCCAGGGGAGGGAATTTGAGCTTAAGAAAAAGATTTGAGCTGTTTTCCAGTATTGCTGGTTGATCCCATTTTATAGGGTTGCCCACAAAATGCGTCGTTATTCTTAAATTCTCGGATCTTGCAACTGTAAAGATGTTTCTGTCTTTTCCAAATCATTTAATAAATAACTTTAAACCTAGAAAACAAAATTCATCCTTCAAGTTCTTATATTTTTAGAGTTCCAGGTTTTCATCTTTTGTGAGTAACCCTGTAGTAACCCTGTATAACATTTAAAGTTTTAATCCACATATTCATCAACAAAAGCTTTACGAATATTAGCTCATACAGTGAGAACCAGAAAAATATAGGAAAACGACATTGAGTTATAATTGAAAACCTTTGTCAAAAGCAAAAACTTTTTCTAGTTATTCGTATTAAATCATTAACTAAGGAAAATTGGTCTGTTTACACCATACTATTGCTGCATCTCTAAGGTCAAAACTTGCGTACAAAAGCATCTTTATATTCCAAAATTTTCTGGTTCTCACTGTATCATTTTAGCATATTTAAAATTAAAATATTTTACCTCAGACAAACAGACATAAATTCTTCCAGAGTTATCTGTCCGTCTCCGTTCAAATCCAACCTCTGGAAATTCAAAATTTGATAAGCTAATTTTTACAATGTATAGGCTTATTTAATTGGCTTGTTTCTATCAAATAATCGTCAAAATTGATGAACAAATCATGACCTTAAAGGTAGTGTTCCCGATAAAAGGAGGTATAGGCTGATATCGAATTGAATTAGATGTCACAAAATTGATGAACAAATCATGACCTTAAAGGTAGTGTTCCCGATAATAGGAGGTATAGGCTGATATCGAATTGAATTAGATGTCACAAAATCGCTACTAATTTTACTAATATCTGTTGCGTTTTAAGGAGAAACGTTTTAAAAAACGTCTCATGCCGAAGACTACAAATTCATGGAGTTGCATCATTCAATTCAGATCGTAAATATTTCAATTCATGGAGTTGCATCATTCAATTCAGATCGTAAATATTTCAATTTTCTTAAGAATTAGAAGTTACAACCTATTACTATCAAATTCAATTTGATGCATTCATATAGAGTTTATATTTCATAATAGTTTTATTCATTTTGATACAATATACTACCACAACTATTTGGCTGCTAAGTGACTCTCCATATTTCAAGGATTTTGTTGTGAGATATCTCCTTTTTGGTCGGAATATAATGCAAAAACCTTACCTTGAAAATGATTTCAGATTTTCTGGTGATAAAAACTTCATTAGGCCCTCCTCCTTTCTCCTTTTCTCCCCCTGGATGTCCCAATAAATCATAAACCTGGAACATTTTATTTCTCAAAATTAAAATATTTTGATGAAATCTCAAAACTTTAACAGATATTTCAAAACATCTTTACTAAGTTTCCCCCTGCCTCTTCCTTGCTCTTACTTAATTATAAACCTTCCCCTTCTTTCAATCTCGTTAAAAAGTACTTTGCACCAGCATGCTATCTATAATTAACCCAGAAATTTTAAAGCTCCAAATCCAGAGGAACATAATAAAGGTCTTAAAAAGGAAATTTGCTTTTTGTATGTTATCTGTCTAAATCCCATTTTCAAACTCTCCTAATGACTGTTTTATATAAAAGTATTTCCAGGGCCCAAAAGGTTCTTGAGCACGCTTGAAAAACGGTAATATTTGTTGTACAAAAAAGGGTGGTTTAAACAATTAAGTAAATTCCACTCTACATATTTTCTACTCTGTAAATAATTAAGTAAATTCCACTCTACATATTTTTTTACTCTGTAAATGTCTTCTACTTGAGTGTACGGAGTGGAGTAGAGTGGATGATTGGTTCTTCACATTCTTTATTCAGTCTTGACTAGAAATCAGGGATTTCACTTTACATACTTTATATCTTCCCTCTGCCCACCTCCCCTCACATCCTCTTCATCCCAACTTCTCCCCCTCCCCTTCCATCCCCCCCTTCTTCCCACCATCCTTCAACTCCTTCTTATATATTACCCTCCCCCATCTATTCTATCTATTTCATCTATTTAATCTATTCCATCTATTACATCTATCCCATCTATCCCATCTATTCCATCTATTTCATCTATTTAATCTATTCCATCTATTCCATCTATTCCATCTATTCCATCAATCCCATCTATTCCATCTATTCCATCTATTCCATCTATTCCATCTATTCCATCTATCCCATCCATCCCATCTATTCCATCTATTCCATCTATTCCATCTATTCCATCTATTCCATCTATTCCATCTATCCCATCTATTCCATCTATTTCATCTATTCCACCTATTCCATCTATTCCATCTATTCCAATTATTATATCTATTCCATCTATTCTATCTATTTCATCTATTCCATCTATTCCATTTATTATATCTATTTCATGTGATTAGAAAACTCTAACCGAGGTGGTGATATCTCGTATTTCTTCTTGAGTTAGAACTCCGTCCTTAAAAAGTAATATCAATTAATACCTTAATTAATATATATACTCCGATCCTGGAAAAATAAACCAAGATTTCAAATGTATTATCATGAGGAAAAACGCAAAAAAGTTATCATCTTTCAAGTTTTCTTTTCAAATAATTTAATTGATACTTTTAAATGCTTATTTCCATTATAATAATTAAATAAAACGTCCGCAAGTGTTTAAAGATTGATTTAAAGATTTTGATAAACGGTTAAAACTATAAGGGGGTTAAGACACCAAATTGTGAATGCATGCCATTTTGACTCTTACGTTTGTAGAAATGTAGGAGGGCGTTGACAATAAGATGTTAGGTTGGCTAGTTGAATAATTGGCTAGTTGGTTCATTGGTTTGTTGGTTCATTGGTTAGTTGGTTCATTGGTTAGTTGGTTCATTGGTTAACTCATTATACTAAATCCATCTTAAAATCACTCATTAACCAACTTTGTGATATTTTAAGATGCAATACTCAGTCAAATTTGTCAACAATTTCATTGTAAAACAGTTTAAGAATTTAACACACAAAATATTAATCTTAAGTAGAATTGAAAAAATGGTTTGAGTTGTGTTTTTTTGCGTGACGCGGCTGAATTTTTTAAAATCACACTTTAAAAGCCCTAAATATACATTCAAAAAAGTAGTTTTGCCCGGAAGAGTCAAATGTGGTGGTACGGAAGGGGAAATAGTGGTGGGTCATGGCTGCCGGAAGAGAAAAAAGCTAATATGTGGCACGGAAGGGGAAATAGTGGTGGCTCATGGCCGCCTGCCTTCCACCGCTCGCAGTACACTTTGGCCGCAAGATGTCTCAAGCAATATTCTTATTTGATAGATAGATAATCCGGACAGACACAGTGGGACATTACAGTTTGGCCGCTATATGTCTCAAGCAATATTCTTATCTGATAGATAGATAATCAGGACACACACATTGGGTGCAGTACACTTTGGCCGCTAGATGTCTCAAGCAATATTCTGATAGATTTAGGACGCACACAGTCGAACACTGTAGTGTCAGGAAGAAACCATAAATAGCATAAATATTACCTTGTTAATGTCGTATACAGAAAATGCCCACCGTAGACGCTCCTCAGCTGTTCCCTAAGTAGGGAAAATATTAATGGATAGTTCACAAATTATTACAAAGTATGGTTTCCACGAAATGGCTAAATCTTTTGCGCAAAATTTGCGCTATTTTCGCGCAAATTTTATTTTTGCGAACTTTTGCGCTATTTTTGCGCATGAAACGCAATGAGTTTTGCGCGGTTTTGCGCTATTTATTTTGCGCAATTTGCGCAAAACCGGAAATATTTTTTGCGAAAGTTGCGCATGAAACGAAATTTTAGTTTTGCGCAATTTTTTTTGCGCAATTTGCGCAAAACCGCAAGTTTTACGCAAAATGTAACTTTTTAGGCACATTGTCAAAAATTGATATTCTAAGCTTAGAATTAAACAACTGAAGATTTATTCCATATACAAAAAAAAATATTAACATACGAGTATGATAACGATTATACTACACTCAATTGGTTACTTCCAGTTACAAAAAGTTTAAATTAAGGGACCAAAATTAATAAAATAGAAATTAGAGAGTGTGAAACTTGGCAATATTTTAATCCTATTAAATAATTTCAAGTGACCCTTAAAAGCTTTGCCTAATCAAGTATGAATTATATTCTTAAATTTTTTTAATCAAATTTCTGAAATCTTTTTAATCTCATATAAAATAATGCAAGAAAGTAACCAATGCCTGAAGAATCCACTTTTAGGAAATATGCATGTCCAAAACTAAAATTGTCGAGAAAATTGTGAGATTTGAACTCTTCTTAACTGTCATTGGTCAATTATGTAAAAGTGACCAATAGGAAGACATTCCAAAACAAGATTTTTCCAGAATTGAATTCTAAGAAACACACACCGTCACCAACCGTTTGATTTTTACGAAATTGCGGAATTGCGCAAAACTCTAGTTACGGAATTGCGCAAAACTTGAGTTTCGCAAAAGCGGAATAGGGCAATTTTGCGCGAAATGACTTTTGCGAATGATTGCGCAAATTGTTGTTTTTTCGCGCAAAATTGATGCGCAGAGAAAGAAAAATTTTGCGTTTTGTTCCGCAAAAATTGCGCAAAAGTTTTGCGAATGGAAACCCCATTACAAAGACACCACACAAATCTACTCTCGGCTAAGGAATCAAAATTACATGAGTGCTTTTATCCGACCATGGATATCAGACTATAGACGTCCAAATCTTAGTTCATGTCTAAAATTTAACATATACCAAAAAACGTTGGCTTGTATATAGACATTAAAGGAATAGAGTCTTTGCCACGAAAGATTATCTTGTCAACCCACTGTCGTCGACATTACATATTTCAACTAGGAATTCTGTTAAATTCTGTTTAAAATATCAAAGTATCATATTGCAAATATATAGAGATTTATAGAAAATCTGAGTTTTTGGCAAAGATTTAATTCCTTCCTTGTTTTAAATTCAAGTGAAATAAAATAAAAAATGAAAAAAATATTTTCAATTTGTTTAGTTTGGTTTACCTTAATGAGCATCGCCAAGCCCAGAGCAAAGTCCTATAAAATATTTGTTTTAGTTCTTAAAAGTTAAGAAACAATTAAATAAGTGAAATCAATATGGAGGGATAATTTTTAATGCCATTTAGATTTTTAAACCACGTTCGAATTCAATCCTATACAATCATTATAGTATCTCATCTTAAAATTAAAATTATAATTATTATAATTAAAGTATTGCCTCAGACTCTCTTTTTAATCTCAATATCTTTGCAACCTGATGATGTATTACTAAAGTTATAGGACATCAGGTTATACAGATAAAAGGAATAGAAAATTAGAGATAATGGGGTGCGGGGGGGAGCTGTTCCCAATCAAGTTTAAGAAAAAACTATCAAAGGGAAAGTTGTAAAGTATAATAGGATGCAGTGAAAATCAAAATAAGATTTCATGACTTTTTGAGCATCTTTTTGTTAAAAAAATATCGATTAAAAAGTTTCAATATTTTAGAAATTTCAGTTATTGGTCAAAAAAACAGATTTCTTTAAAAAATCCCAATAGATTACTTCTTTTTACTTTTTTCTTATTCTGATAATTAAAATGAAAAAAATCTAACTCTATATTGTTGGTTTATATTCTTATATATGGTTGATTTATATTCTTATATATGGTTGGTTTATATTCTTATATATGGTTGGTTTATATTCTTATATATGGTTGGTTTATATTCTTATATATGGTTGGTTTATATTCTTATATATGGTTGGTTTATATTCTTATATATGGTTGGTTTATATTCTTATATATGGTTGGTTTATATTCTTATATATGGTTGGTTTATATTCTTATATATGGTTGGTTTATATTCTTATATATGGTTGGTTTATATTCTTATATATGGTTGGTTTATATTCTTATATATGGTTGGTTTATATTCTTATATATGGTTGGTTTATATTCTTATATATGGTTGGTTTATATTCTTATATATGGTTGGTTTATATTCTTATATATGGTTGGTTTATATTCTTATATATGGTTGGTTTATATTCTTATATATGGTTGGTTTATATTCTTATATATGGTTGGTTTNTTAGACACTTCATGACAAATAGACAGGCTGACACTTATACAAATATTTAGATTGACATTTAGACACTTCATGACAAATAGACAGGCTGACACTTATACAAATATTTAGATTGACATTTAGACACTTCATGACAAATAGACAGGCTGACACTTATACAAATATTTAGATTGACATTTAGACACTTCATGACAAATAGACTGGCTGACACTTATACAAATATTTAGATTGACATTTAGACAGCTAGACAGATATACATGCTGACAGCTAGACAGCTTTACAGCTTTACAGCTAGACAGCTAGACAGCTAGACAGCTAGACACCTAGACAGCTAGACAGCTAGACAGCAAGGCAAAATAGACAGACTGACGCCTAGGCACCTAGACAACTAAACAAATAGACAGGCGGAGACCTGGACAGCTAAACAGATAGACAAATAGACAGGCTGAAAACTAGACACCAAGACAGCTAGACACATAGAAGGGCTGACAAATAGACAGGCCGACACATAGCCAGCTAGATAGCTACGCTTGTGTCCCTATGTGGCATCTAGAGCCAGGTGGGTTGTGTCCTGGTTGACTCTCATATTGAACGGGTTTGGCCTGACACCTGGACTGCTAGACAGCTATAAAAATAGACAGGCTGACACCTATAAGACAGCACTGTAAATATGAATATGCGGCCACGAATTTAAATTTTAAAATTCTATTCAAATCTTGTTGGAGTAGATTATTTTTCCACGTCTGTCAACATCCTGATTTATATTCCTTCTATTCAACATCCTTCAATCCAACACATAGTATGAAGGTATTATATTAATCAACAGTTTATTTAGCTTTACATTTATCATGTTTTCAAATATATCTTTAATATAAATATTATATCTACATATATAAATATATAACCTACCTTAAAGGTACATTGTTATAGTTACAAAAAAATAATTCAGTAATTTGGTTTATTTTTACATCTAACATGGTTTCAAACATATCTGTGTGGTGTAAATTATAGTAAACCTAGAGGGGGATATTATGCAAATATCCAATTATGAATTATAGTAAACCTAAAGTGGGATGTTATGCAAATATCCAATTATGAATTATAGTAAACCTAGAGGAGGATATTATGCAAATATCCAATTATGAATTAGGTGCCACAGCTTAATCTTTATCTTTTCGGGTAATAAACTTTATATATATTATATACAGTATACACTAATAAACAAATATATATATATTGGTTCTATTCATTACAGTAACACAGTCCAAACATTAAGACTACGTAGATATATGGTGGTCCTAATGCATATTGGCAGTAAATTGAGATTTTCAGACCTAAAAATTTGAAAAGATTGAAAAAGGATAATTTTAGAATTTGAATCCAAATGTGAAAGGTTCTTGTCCTTTTTTTTTAGTTTGGAGTAATCTATATTTGTCTGTTTGTTTGTCTGTCGATAAGGCTGAGAGAAACCAGTTTTGGATTTTTAAAACCAAAAAAGTATTTTATCATTAATCATTTTGAACGAACATATGGATTGATTCTACGTTTTTTTTTCAAATCATTTAATGGGAGAAAAATAAACAATTTTTTTAGAATTTTCTCTTTTAACTAATTATTTTTTTTATAAATTGAAGTTTCTAAAAAATAAGCCGATTAGTATTTTTTTCTTCAGTTTTTTCTATTTGATATCGAAAATGTTACACTCATTCACTCCCAAGTTTATTCACCTCATTACAGGTTTTTGGAAATGGAAAATCGTATTGTATACAAAGCCAACAAACCATGTCTGATGGTTCGCGCCGTTTAAAAAAAACGAAAACTTTTAATTGTTTTTCTTCAAGTATACATGGAAGCTGAGTTTACCTTAGGTTAGAAGTTTAGTCATGAGAGTGGGAGTACTGGGAGTACTGGGAACACTGGTTGTGGGAGATGGGTTATAGCCGTAGTTCATGTAATTGACTTATTATGAGAAAGTTCTGTATTTAACTTTCTATGCTTGTCACTTACATTCTTATAGTAATTAAATCATTTAATGTAATTAACGATTTCTAGGAACTATGATTACTTCACTGAACCTTCTCTCTACATCTTGTTACCTAATGGTTTAAACCTCTGATAGAAAATTTACATCAGAGAGATAATATCTATATATATATGTATCATGCACTTTATTTAAGAAGATTATTTGGCCGCAAGGTACAGGGTTACCCACAAAGGATGAGACTGTAAAGACGACCTAAAACTCTTTTATATGTGATTCCAAGGTTGAATTAGGTCTTTTTCCTTAAATTATAGTTTTTTATGGCATTTTTATTGAGTGGGTATAAGTATAAGACGTTTTTAACCATTTTCTCCTTATATAGAAAACAGATATTAGTAGGCATCGATAAAAAATTTAATTCTATATCAGTCTAGCATATACACCCTTTCATTTTTAACGAACACTCCCTTTAAAGTGATTGTGTGTTGTAAATTCAAATTAAAGGAATTGTGTGTTTAATTACCTCGAATGTAATGAGCCCTGTGCTCCTTCTGTCCAAAGCTGAGAATATATAATTGGAGTAGGAACTCAGATTAGCTAAATACATTTTGAATTAACAAATCAATCTCTTTAACTCTACTAAAAGGATCTGAGCTAAACACTTTCGAATGGGATATCCTTAATCCCGATCGGTTAATTAATCTGGAGATTAATAACAGGAGGAGAACCAGCATTATTTAATCTCAAGATTAAGAAAAAGAGTGGGATCAAGCATTAATCACGATATCCACTATTTAAAAGTTCCAAGCTCTGTAGCCGTATAATTTAAAGTTTAAGTGATCGTTTATTTAAAGATTTGCATGTCTGATTCACTTTCGGAACGTAAAACTGTTGTCTGAGTTACAGTCAGGAAGATATCGTCGTCGTAAAATGTGTTAAATTCTTAAGCTCTAATGCAAAAATTCATTAGTCAATTTTTTAAGAAAACCCATGGCAACTGATAAGGTTGATCTGCAATGTCACCCGGAAAAGAGTTTTTATTTGACCTGCACAAACATTTTTAAATGTTCAATTTTAAGATATAAATTAATAAAATCAAAAAGAGGATCCGTAAATCAAACTATTAAATGATATGGAGGAAGGAATTAATTGAAGTTAGACTCTTTCAGAGGATTTCGGAATTTTTAGAGAGAAACAGATTTTGAAACATAACTCAACATTTTATTTGATATAAAATTAAAAAATTAATCAATAAGTTTGAGAAGAAAGTCTAATAGATGTTTTTATATTGTAAAGACTTTAATTAAAAAGTGGATTTTTTATAGTTAAAATTGCTGCAATACCGACAAGAGCTTTTTTTGAAGAAAAAAGTGATTAAAGTGGACTGTTCATGAAATATCGTTACCTCCTGGAGGGACTGTTCATGAAATATCGTTACCTCCTAGAGGGACTGTTCATGAAATATCGAAACCTCCTAGAGGGACTGTTCATTAAATATGGTTACCTCCTAGAGGGACTGTTCATGAAATATCGTTACCTCCTAGAGGGACTGTTCATGAATTATGGTTACCTCCTAGAGGGACTGTTCATGAAATATCGTTACCTCATAGAGGGACTGTTCATGAAATATCGTTACCTCCTAGAGGGACTGTTTTTGAAATATCGTTACCTCCTAGAGGGACTGTTCATGAATTATGGTTACACCCTAGAGGGACTGTTCATGAAATATCGTTACCTCCTAGAGAGACTGTTCATAAAATATCGTTACCTCCTAGAGGGACTGTTCATGAATCATGGTTACCTCCTAGAGGGACTGTTTATGAAATATCGAAATCTCCTAGATGGACTGTTCATGAAATATCGTTACCTTTAGAGGGACTGTTCATGAATTATGGTTACCTCCTAGAGGGAAGAATTTCGAGAATATTGTATGAAATATCTCTGGTGTAATTAACCCAGCTGGGCACTCGTTTTTAAAACTGGCGTACATCCTCTTTAATTCGGGAACACTAAACCTTAATATTGAAAATTAAATGGACTGCCATTTAAATTTGAAGTGATATTCTTTTCACCTTTGATTTGATCAGTATAAATGTGGAAATATTGTAGTTATTCTAGGTTTTTAAATTTTCTTTCTACGATTTTTTTCATTGTTTCTTATAAACAAGAAATGCGCAAGTTACTTTAGCAGAGAAACGAAATAAACAGTTTAAATGAACAACAACATGTATGCTTAATTCATACTTGATCAGACAAAGCTAGTAAGGGCACCGTTGTATATCAGACAGTGCCATCTTTACCTGGAGGGTTACTTGAAATAACGCTTACACTCAATTGAAGAAATTATTTGAAAAATCCAAATTCTTTTTTCCCTTTTCATCAAACTGCAGATTAGTGTCAGGATGATTTTAATTTTATTCAAAAACTAAAAAGGAAAAAGAAAATTGATCAAAGATGAGAAAAGTTAAAAATAAAAAAAGAATTATTTTTCGTAAAAAAGAGAAAACCATTTCCAACTAGGCGTAAACTCGATTTCCAAATTGAAAATATTTAATCTAAATCAAATTTTTTTTTTCCAAATCGAATTTGTGCGGTCTTTCATTTATTAAGGAACTAGCTAAAGGGCCCTGGCGTTGCCCGTGGAAACTTTTTTTTTAAAAATATTGAAACAAAAATTTATTGAATTTTTTTAGTGTCCACAAAAAATTTCAGTCGAATTGGTCCAGCCGTTTGGCCGGCTATAGAAAGCATATATATATACGATCATGTCTCGTTTTATTATAAGGATTATTATAAAGTCATCCCTTTTGAAATTTCAAAGAATTAAAAAAGCATCAGCATCAGTAGACATAATTATATCTAAATCATTTCTGGAATGTTGTACTTATTAATCTCCTTTCGCTCTAATTTAATCAATATATTACAAAACTGTGATTTTAAACTATGATATCTGCTGGATCAAATCTTAAAATGTTGCAATGATAACTGCTTTAACTGATTGCTACTACAGAAACTTGTCAAAAACTTTTAAGAGAAACGAGTTTTGGTTGAGAAAAAAAGCAAAAATATTAATCTAAATACTGTTTTATTTGAGATTTTAGTGACTTACCCAGTTGTAGCAGATAGAGAAGTGATGCTGTTAGGCCTATACCTAGCTGGTATCTCTAGGTCTAGTAGTAGAGGTTCTAGGTAATAATACTGTTAGGTCTATATATATACCTAGCTAGGTGGTATCTCTAGGTCTAGTAGTAGAGGTTCTATGTAATAATACTGTTAGGTCTATTATACCTAACTGATATCTTTCGGTCTATTAGTAGAGGTTCTAGGTAATAATATTGTTAGGTCTATACCTAGCTGGTATATCTAGGTCTAGTAGTAGAGGTTCTAGGTAATAATACTGTTTGGTCTATACCTAGCTGGTATCTCTGGGTCTAGTAGTTGAGGTTCTATGTAATAATACTGTAAGGTTCATATACTTAGCTGGTAACTTAGGTTTAGTAGTAGAGGTCCTAGGTAATAACACTGTTAGGTCTATACCTAGCTTGTATCTCTAGGTCTAGTAGTAGAGGGGTTCTAGGTAATAATACTGTTAGGCTTATACCTAGCTGGTATCTCTTGGTCTAGTAGTAGAGGTTCAATGAAATAATACTGTAAGGTTTATATACCTAGCTGGTAACTTAGGTTTAGTAGTACTGGTTCTAGGTAATAATACTGTTAGGTCTATATACCTAGCTGGTATCTCTAGGTCTAGTAGTAGAGGCTCTATGTAATAATACTGTTATGCCTATATATATATCTAGCTGGTATCTCCAGGTCTAGTAGTAGAGGTTATAGGTGATAACAACGTTAGGTCTATGCCTAGCTCCTATCTCTAGGTCTAGAAGTAGAGGTTCTATGTTATAATACTGTTAGGTCTATACCTAGCTGGTATCTCTTGGTCTAGTAGTAGAGGTTCTATGAAATAATACTGTAAGGTTTATATACCTAGCTAGTAACTTAGGTTTAGTAGTACAGGTTCTAGGTAATAATACTGTTAGGTCTATATACCTACCTGGTATCTCTAGGTCTAATAGTAGAGGTTCTAGGTAATATTACTGCTAGGTCTATATATATATACCTAGCTGGTATCTCTATGTCTAGTATTACAGGTTCTAGGTAATAATACTGTTAGGTCTATTATACCTAACTGATATCTTTAGGTCTAATAGTAGAGGCTCTTGGTAATAGTTCTGACAGGTCTATATAAACTGGCTGCTTTCTCTAGGTCTAGTAGTAGATGTTCTAGGTAATAATAGTGTTAGGTCTATATATATATACCTAGCTGGTATCTCTAGGTCTAGTAGTAGAGGTTCTAGGTAATAATACTGCTAGGTCTATGCCTAGCTATTATCTCTAGGTCTAGTACTAGAGGTTCCAGGTAATAATACTGTTAGATCTATCTAAGGTTTGCACCATCAGGTTGCAAAGATGTAAAGATTATAAAGTTAGAGCCTGAAGCGTGTAATCATTTTTATGGTGTAAGTAATGCTTTATAATTTTTGATAAAAGCGTGTTTTTGTACTGTTTAGATAGATAATGTTTTAGAGAATATGTAAGTTCTTAGAAAGGTCAAAGTTCTAAAGTTTCCTTATCTATATATGTATGTTTAGACAAATCTTGTTAAGGTAAAAGGTTTAGAAAAATACACCAAGAAGAGAAACTTTGTAAAATATGCATGTTTTTAGTGCTAACCCTATCTCTTGCTGAGGTACTTTATTAATGTAAGGGTGTCTGGATAGGGCGGGGGNGAGGAGATATTGATAATTTAGTAAATTTATATTATGCCCAAAATGTAAAAATAAAACACAGTATTTAACATTTCGGTCATCGTTTTAGTTATTTTTGAATACATGGTCAATATTCATAATTCTTATTTTGGAAAATTTAAAAATATTTTTATTCTTTTGTAAATTAATAACAAAACCAGAATAATACTTATGCTAATAATAAGTATTTTATCAAATTAAAAAATATTTGGGACATAAAAATAAACTTCTTAAGGGGTAAAATCATAAAATGAAATTTCGTTTTTTAAATTCTAAATTAAAATATCAGGAATTTTCTTATTTTCAATAACAAGATTCTCTGAACAGTGCCATGTCAACAATTGTATAGAAAAGAAACCCCAAATATTCAAATTATTATTCAGCAAAATTCAAGAAATTAATCAGTTGCCAGGTTGCATCAAGAATCTTAAACATTTTTTTTTATAGTTTAATTTTTATTTTTTTAGGATTTTTATAAACAAGCCCAAATTTTTGATTTTCGTAAATTTTTAAAAATCCACGAAGAAATTGTAAATCCCCCCAAAAAATTGTATTGTTTCAACAAAGAGAAAATGCTGAAAGATTAAGCAAAAATTAAAGTTGAAATAGAAGATGGGCGCGACGCGCCCTGATAGAGGTTTAGCAAATTATTGAAATATTACTTTCTCCATGAATGACTCCTGTTGCAGCATGACGGAGAAACTTCCAAACCCTGAAATAGATTGCTATGTCACTTAAGTAAAATATTATAAATATTGATATTTAATTCATATTTGAAGAGCCAAATCTTTAAAGGGTTCGGTTGTGAAACAGGCATTGCCATTTTCGTTTAAAAGGTCACTTGAAATTACGCTTACAGTCCCTTTAACTTTTTAGCTCATTCACCTTGCGGTCTTGTAGAAAAAATGTCCAATTCAAAATTTGTCGGACTATGGACTAAGTATGTACTGTACTGTACTGTACTGTACTGTACTGTACTAATATTAGAGGGTTACCCGCAAGGATGAGGCTTTTAAGACGACTGTGGGGATTTTATTTAGTTTTTCTTATATACCAATAAAAAAAACATATTTAAAGTAAAAACAGGCGAAATCTTCATATCATCATGTTTAATTAGTCTTGGGTCCTGGAAATAGATTTATTGATATTTCGTTTTTATTTGTATGCGTGAGCTTGTGCCCACAACCCTTATCCAAAAATAAATTATTAAAGATAAAAAATTAGTCTTGGGTCATCGTTAAAGTCTCCTATTTTCTGGGAAACCCTGTAAATGCATTTATGATACTTTCAAATAGTGAAGCTCTAGCTATTTTTGATAAGCTAACTAAAATAATTTACTCCGACATTGAATGGAAATATAAGAAAATTGCACAACAGGTTAAAAAGCAGGCTTTCTATAGCTGAGAGTAAAACTATATACAATAATAGAATAAATGGCCTCCGAAAAACATAACTGCAACAATAATAAAGATGGCTGACTAAAATGATAAATGACTACCTGAAAAGGAAAGGTTTCTGTTTCCGCCTAGATGGCCGGGGCTCCTCGCCAGAATCCTGAAAAAGTTGGATTTGGCAAAGTTCCGTTAGGTTCTGTCTGCCGTTTTGTCCGACGCCCCCCCCCCCTCCTAGAAAAGGAATTAAAGTAAATATATATGGTTGCAATGCATGCTCATAGCCCAATTTTTCAAGGCCAGCTCATTGAACAAAAAAATAGACCCCTAACTTTGGCTGCTATGCTCTCTCAATAAACTTGTATTTTGCAATCCTGCTTTGCAACTTTATGAAGACCTTAGATATTTTTGCAACGTTATGTAGACCTTTGATATTTTTGAAACGTTATGTAGGCCTTTGATATTTTTGCAACGTTAAGCAGACCTTTGATACTACGAACTGTGAAAACTAGATGAACAAATTTAAAGTTTAAAATATAATATTCATTCCAGAATGTGTTGAACTCCACAGGCAGCCGAAGTACATTTGTATTTCCGAGCCGGATCAACCTTTGCAGTCCCAGTTTGTACTGTACAAAGCTCTATGAACAGGACTAGTCGGTGCAACAAGGTTGACGCGGTCAGACTTTATGCTTCATATAGATTGAATTTACTTTTACTAAAGAGGCAGAGGTGCGACAATCCTTCTCTGTCTACTGTTGTTTCATCAATTCGCAGGTGTTATTTTTATGAAAACCGGTATTGATAATTATCAATTTTAGGATGGAAAAACAGGGATAATTAACTTATTTTTGATTAAACAACGGTTCGAAGGTTACCGTTGTGAATCGGACATGCCACAATAAATGGAGGGTCACTAGAAATTAGGCCGACAATCCCTTTACAGCAGCTGGTTTGAAAAGTAGGAAGTATGGAGATTATATATCCTGTAGTGTATGTATGTATACAATAAAATCTAATAAAACAGTATTAAATTCCAGACATGAAAACACAATTTTTGGCTCCGCTTCTGAATATGATTTGATACACAGGATACAATGCCAAAAGATGTATGAGTTTCTCAGTTCTCGATAATATACAAATTAGTAGAATTAATTAAGTAAAAGGGGGGGAAGGGGATATCATAAAATCTAATTATAGTTCTGTAAAATTTTCTCAGATTTGTTTAAGATGAAAAATAATCGTTATTCTGTGGTTTGTCCGTTTTTAACAAAAAAATAAAACTCTGATGGAAATTAAGATACAGAGTTACCTACAATGAATGAGGCTTTAGAGACGACTGTACGGAATAAATACTTTTTTATATGCATGGTTTCCTGAATAAACCATATACCTGATAATAATTTTTTTGTTGTGACCGTCTTTGTGGTAATCCTAGAAATATTAATAATATGGCTGTAAGTATTAGAATTTGGTCCAACTGAAAAATACGTCGACAGCTGCTCTTTTTATTGATAATTTTATATTAATTATTTATTATTTAAATGTTTTCACGATACATTTCATATAATATTACCTTCTCCAAGTTTAGACCCTGGCTGCGTGTCATGCATATTCTATAAAAATTTTAAAATAAGTTTTCTATTATTTTCACTTATTAGAACTTAATATGGTTGCAAAGTTTTGACATGAAACAGTTTTGAACTAATTTAACTACTAGAACCCCCTCCTCACACGTTAAACTACTAGAACCCCCTCCTCACACGTTAAACTACTAGAACCCCCTCCTCACACGTTAAACTACTAGAACCCCCTCCTCACACGTTAAACTTAGGATTAAAATCTTAAATGACTTCAATAATAGTGATAATTTAATTAATTAATTGAGGATTGAGGATTGAGAATTGAGGATTGATAATTGAGGATTGAGGATTGATTATTGAGGATTGAGGATTGATAATTGAGGATTGAGGATTGATGATTAAGGATTGAGGTTTGAGGATTGAGGTTTGAGGATTGATAATTGAGGATTGAAAATTAAGAATTGAGAATTAAAAATTGATGATTGAGAATTGAGGATTGATAATTGAGGATTGATGGTTAAGGATTGATGGTTAAGGATTGAGGTTTGAGGATTGAGGATTGAGTATTGAGAATTAAGAATTGATTATTAAAGATTGATGATTGAGAATTGAGGATTTAGGATTTAGGATTGAAGATTGAGGATTGAGGATGAGGAAAGCAGATTGAGGATTAAGAATTGAAGATTAAAGATTGAGCATTGGAGATTGAGAATTGAGGATTAATAATTAAAGATTGAGGATTGAGGATTGAGAATTGAGGATTAAGAATTAAAGATTGAGGATTGAGGATTGAAGATTGATGATTGTGGATTTAGGATTGAGGATTTAGGATTGAGGATTAAGGATAGAGGATTGAGAAAAAAGGATTGAGGATTAAGGATTGAGAATTAAAGATTGAGTATAGAGATTAAGAATTGAGGATTAATGATTAAAGATTGAGGATTAAGAATTAAAGATTGAATATTAATGATTAATGATTGAGAATTGAGGATTGAGGATTGGGGATTGAGGATTAATGATAAAGGACTGAGGATTAAGGATTGGGGATTGAGAATTGAGGATTAAGGATTGATGATTGTGGATTGAGGATTGGGGATTGAGGATTGGGGATTGAGGGTTAAGGATTGAGGAATGAGGATTGGAAACATGTAAGATTCCAAACTGTACGTGCACTTCACTTTAGTTTGACTTGATCTACAGACTACAACTCTTGAGCTCGATATATTCACTTTAAGAGATTTGATCTACTCTCTTGAGCTCGATATATCACTTTAAGAGATTTGATCCTCGACTGCTTTGAGAACTCATGCATCAATTTTTAACGCTTAAACTCTTAATCAAAAAATTAATTTTCAAAATTCTCATAGATTTTTGCGTCAGAGGTACTGTTGGATTAATTTTTCCGCTGGATCAAATAAAAATTGGGATTAGATGGATATTTCTAATGATAGAGAATACCAATTCAAAAAATCTTTATATGGAAAAATTCATCTTAATTTCTACTCAAAAATATTTCAAAGATTAATATACTCTACTGGTCTGTTTTCAAGGAACTAGAAAAGTATTATTATTTCTTAGAAAAAAATAATTGAAGAAAAAATTCTTGTAGCTCTTCCATATTTGTTTTCAAATTTATTTTGATTTCTATGTTTTCATGATTTGATTCAACAGTTCTGTCTTTGTTTGAATGGTTTCAAAAATCATTATAATTTGTGCAATTAATTGGTTTACATCTATTTTTTTCCAGATTGCAAACCGACTAAAATGTCATAGGGCCTTGTTGTAAGGAAAGTTAATTTTAAGAGTTTTCATAAAAATGGCCGTTTTTAGGTCAAATGTTTGAAATTTCAAACACAAGATTAAAAAGAAGAAGAATAGATAGATAGAAACAATATTGGAATATTGGTACAGGGCCTGATTTTGCATTCATACAACTTATCTTAATTTTCATGCGCTGTGATCCAATGGTTGATATCTCTCAAGCATAACTCCTTCACTATTTTACCAATTAATTCTTTTAAACTTTAGCTAGACACTAGGGCTTTATAATAATATTTATGATTTAGTTAGTGAGTTAAATCTTAGCTAATTTACATACAGAAGTTACCAGACAAATATTAATTTAGATATTGAAGTAACCACACAAATCTTAGCTAATTTTCATACAGAAGTTACCAGACAAATCTTAATTTACATATTGAAGTAACCAGCCAAATCTTAATTTACATACGGAAGTAACGAGACAAATCTTAGCTAATTTTCATACAGAAGTAAACAGGCAAATCTTAATTTACATATGGAAGTAATCAGACAAATCTTAGTTAATTTGCATACAGAAGTAACCAGAAAAATCTTAATTTACATATTGAACTAACCAGCCAAATCTTAATTTACATGTGGAAGTAACGAGACAAATCTTAGCTAATATTAATACAGAAGTAACCAGACAAATCTTATTTTACATACGGAAGTAACCAGACAAGTTTTAATTTACATACGGAAGTTACCAGAAAAATCTTTGTTAATTTACATATGGAAGTAACCAGGCAAATCTTAGTTAATTTACATACGGAAGTAACTTATTTTTCCAACGTAAAAATATACGTCAAAATGCATTGGTCTAGTGTACAAGAGATTAATATGCGTAGATTTAAAAGAGAAGAAAACAGATGTATGATCAGATGAAAAGAATATACAACGGTCGGAAAAAAACAAAAAAACGCTGTTCTTTTTAAATTTTGTTTAAAAAAGATTTTTATTTAAAAACAAATTGTTTAAAACATACTAAAGTAAACAGAAAAACCTTAGTTAATTTTTATTCGGAAGTAACCAGACAAATCTTTATTTACATACGGCCGGAAGTAGCCAGACAAATCTTAGCTAATTTACATAAGGAAGTAACCAGACAAATCTTACTTTACATCTGGAAGTTACCAGACAAATCTTATTTTACATCTGGAAGTTACCAGACAAATCTTACTTTACATCTGGAAGTTACCCGAAAACTGTGAAATAATTTCTTTTATGAAAGAAGTTTACAAACGGTGTTGATTAAATGCCTGAAAATATTTATTTAACGTTTTACAAAAAAAATGTTAAAAATCTCAAAATTCTGAACGATATTTTATGATATGAGACAGAAGATAAAAGCAATGACAAGTTATTCTCTATCCTAATCTTTAAAGTGAGACCCGTAAAACAGTGAAATTAGAAGATGATAAAAATTATTTGACCAGTAGCTTGAAAAATCTACTTTATAAGATAATAGGGTCTGTCTACACTGCACAATTAATGTGTTTCATGGTCATAAAACTATTTAAACCTTGTTAATTAAGTGACCATAACTCTTCCAATCCTGATTAACTTTATCTTACATAATTAATCCTAATCTGAAGCTGGGAGAATTTTAAATCAACTGATTGAATTCGAGTTTTATTATTCATTACTCAGAAAGATTTTATAGATTAAACTAAATTTACTACGTTTCGCGGATTTTACTTAATGAAATTGGATGCCAGGTATAATAAATGAAATAGATAGATTACAGTATGTTTTTGAGAAACAGATGTTAATCCTATTTCACTAATCTAATTTAAAAGGAATTTAAACTTAATAAAACGTTCCAAATTTACTTAACAATAATTACCAAGACAAAAAATCAATTATTATGGGTAGGGTTTTCACGAAACAGTATAGATTTCTTGCACAGCAGTTTCGCTTTTTTGCACAAAATTACTTTTTTACGAAATTTTGCATTAGTTTTGTATCCATACAAAACCAGGTTTGCACGATATTGCGTATTCATTCGAAATAAATAATTTTTGCACGAAATTGCGGATGAATACAGAATATAAGTCATAATTTTTGCATGATTTTGCGCATGAACATGAAAAGAAATAAAATTTTTTACTTGATATATTGGACAAAATGATGTAAATTAGTTTAATAAAAACAACTTTCATTGCTGAAGTTTTTTATTCATGAACAATAATTACATTATTATCATATTCTATAGTTTAATGAAATGATAAATTTGTTTTGAAACAACGCTAAAAAGGAGGCACTGGATATGCGTCTTATCTTTGTTTAATCCTATCGGCTGTACCAAATTGTCTGAAAGGAATTGAATCTTTGCTACAAACTTAAATTTTCAAATTCCTATATCTTTGCAACCTGGTAGTATAAACATTTATTTCAAACTTAATTTATTTCATCTATCTAACAGAATTCATAGTTTTAAATATCTTCGGTCTACGACATTGGGTTGCAAAGATATAGGGATTAAACAATCAGAGTTTGTAACAAAGATTTAATTTCTTTAATTGGTGGCTTTAAACCTGAGAAGTGAGGCCAACGCCATGTATGGTGCGGGTGATAGCGGGCCGGCGTAAAGTGGGACCCTGATTGGTTTTGTTTTGAATTAATTTATTTCTTGGAATTGTTTCACAAAATTTAACGGAATAGCTCGAAATAACAAAAAAGGCAGGAAATAACAATATGCGCAAAAACCGAGATTTTCTTTATAATTTGCGCGAAATATCTTTTGCGCATTGATGCGAAATAATATCAAAATTTTGTGCAATTTTTATTCCGATGGATGTATCATACCTTTCTCCGATCAAACTAAAGTAAATTGCACATATGCTTAAAATCTTACATGTTTTCAATTATAACTACTCTTTCTGAAGAGTTTTTTAAAGAAAAAAAATGTTTTGAATTTATATCATGTAACCGAATAAATTTGGATTTCTCATATGATTGTGTAAAAACTTAAGACTACAGGACAATTAAGTAAAATAACGACCC